GTGAGTGGCATCTGGGGTCTTAAAAGCTTGCAAGCGGCCATCTAAGATGCATCAATTGGTCTCAACCACCTGGAGTAAAGGAGAATGAAGAACACCAAAGTCACAAGGAAAGTATTAGCCCAAGAGACAGAAAGGGCCACATAAACCAGAGACTTCATCAGCCTGAGACCAGAAGAGCTAGATGGTGCCCAGCAACCACCAATGACCACCCTGACAGGGAATGCAACAGAGAGTCCCTGATGGAGCAGGAGAAAGGTGGGGTGCAGAACTCAAAGTCTAGTAAAAAGACCAGACTTAATGGTCCGACTGAGACTGGAAGAACCCTGGAAAGCATGGCCCCTGGACTCTCTGTCAGCCCAGAAGTAAAACAACTTCCGAGGCCAACTCTTCAGACAAAGATTGGACTGGACTGTGGGACATAAAATGATACTTGTAAAGAGTGTGCTCCTTAGCTCAAGTAGATAATTGAGACTAAACGGGCAGCTTCTGTCCAGAGGTGGGATCAGAAGGCAGAGAGGGTTAGGAGCTGGTTGAATGGACATACAAAATCAGGGGTGGAAAGGAGGGGTGTGCTGTCATAGTATAGGGAGAACAATTTAGGGTCATATAACAATGTATGTGTAAATTTTTGTCTAAGAGACTAACTTGAAATTTAAACTTTCACTTAAAGTGCAACAATAAACAAAAAAAAGAAAAGTAAGAAAAAAAATTTTAAACAGAAACCAAAATAGAGAACTTAATTTTATTTCCTTGAAGGTTTGACTTACCGGGCAAGAGGAGGTCTAGATTTATCTTTATGAGCATCTTATAAAAAAAAAAAATAATATTTGAATACCTACAATATCCTAGATACCACATTATGTATGTGTATATATATATATATATATGTGTGTGTGTGTGTAAGAAATAATATCTTTACTCTCAAAAAACTTAGATTAGAAATGAAAGCAGATGAATAAACAAAAGTAACACTATGTTTGGTATTTCTCTTTTTTTTTTTCAAGAGCCATTTCCTATTTAAAAAAATCAGAAGACTAACAGACAACAACAAAAATATCCTTCCATGAAAGTACATAATGTATATTTACAAACAGATGCTTCTGAGACATCATTCACGATGTTCTGTAATCCATGTAAGGAACAAAATGTCAATATTCCTTTTTTGTTATTGTTAATGAACATATTACCATTGCAGAGCTATACTTCTAGGATTAAAATGTGAAAGAATGGATTGAAATATAATGTTATAAAACATTCACTCAAAAAAGAGATTTAAAAAAAGTGGGGACACTCACAAAATACCCTTAGCTTTAAACCAAAAAACAAAAACCCAAGTCGTTTTGCAGTGTTCCTTCACATGGTATCTGTACCAACTACTAAACCTTAGAAGCATCTCTCCGTGAGGCATTTGTACACTGTAGACAGCTTTCTCCTCAGCTTTTTCCTGTTTCTGTGTTCAGAGCTTCAGGTTGGAGGGTAATGCCTGGCCTATTCTAGGAGTACCTGAACAAAAGGCTCAGACAATCCATGCGCTCTTGATGAAGCACTCCTTATATCTAATTCAAACATTCCCTAGTCTCCTGTAATGTATTATTTCCTAGATTCTTGCATTCCCATGAAGAAATATCAAATAATTTCATTATTCAAGTGCACTACAGATACTGCAGTCTATTGTGGACTAATAGCTCTGTGATAAGGGATCAAGCTAAGCACCTCACCTTCATGGGGCTGGAGTGTGTTGGTTGTTGTTGTGTGCCATTGAGTCACTTTCAACGCCTAGTGACCCTATGTGACAGAGTAGAACTGCCCCATAGGGTTTCCTAGACTGCAACCTTTATGGGAGCAGATGGCCAGGTCTTTCTCCCATGGAGCTGCTGGGTGGGTTTGAACCACCAGCCTTTTGGTTAGCAAATGAATGCTTAACTGTTTAACCATCAGAGCTTCTCAAATATTGGATTTTAAATAGTCCTTTTTATATGGTGACAATCTCTTGGTTCGGGAATCTGGGATATTATGAAATCTACTAAGTTTGGAATTGCTAAGGCATAAACTAGAAGAGTGCTGTTCAATGATATAAAACCCAGAGCAGAGAGTGCCATACATCATATTAAGAAATCCAGGCTTCATGGTCTTAAAAGCTAGTGAGCAGCCATCTAAGATGCATCAATTGGTCCCAACCCACCTGGAGTAAAGGACAATGAAGAACACCAAAGTCACAAGGAAAGTATTAGCCCAAGGGACAGAAAGGGCCACATAAACCAGAGACCTCATCAGCCTGAGACCAGAAGAACTAGATGGTGCCTGGCAACCACCAATGACCGCCCCGACAGGGAACACAACAGAGAGTCCCTGATGGAGCAGGAGAAAAGTGGGGTGCAGAACTCAAATTCTAGTGAAAAGACCAGACTTAATGGTCTAACTGAGACTGGAGGAACCCCAGAAAGTATGGCCCCCGGACTGTCTGTCAACCTAGAACTAAAACCATTCCCGAGGCCAACTCTTCAGACAAAGATTAGACTGGACTATGGGAAATAAAATGATACTCGTGAAGAGTGTGCTTCTTAGCTCAAGTAGATACATGAAACTAAATGGGCAGCTCCCGTCTGGAGGTGAGATGAAAAGGTGGAGAAGGTCAAGAGCTGGTTGAATGGACATGGGAAATCAGGGGTGGAAAGGAGGAGTGTGCTGTTACAGTATAGGGAGAGCAATTAGGGTATTATAACAATATACGTATAAATTTTTGTATGAGAGACTAACTTGGATTGTAAACTTTCACTTAAAGTACAACAATAAAATTAAAAAAAAAAAAAAGAAAAGAAAGAAATCCAGACTTCATTCTGTAGTATTTAGGAAGCTAAACAAAAATCATGAAATTAGGAGGGCATACATAACAAGACTTGTTTTTAGAAAGATTACTGTGGTGGAAAGAGAGGAAACACATCAGGCATGAGGGAGGATAGGAGTGGAGGACGAAACTAAATGCAGGAAGATGTGTTGTCGGAGTCATGGTTAAAGGATAAAATACATTCTTACTCTGCCAGTCTTTCCCACATTCAAATTATATTTGTTTGGTGCTGACTCTGTGTGAGGATTTCCACATATTTTAAAAAAATCTATATTTCAAGTCTTTAAGACAGAGACTGTACCCATTTTAGATATGAAGAAACTGAGGCTCACAGTGGATGACACTGTTTGAAGATACACTCAATCTCACAGAGATTAAATGATCCATCCTTCATCACACACCTCTTGAGTGCTGGTGTTAGGAGTCAAACTCAGCTCTTGTACCAAAGCTTTGTATATCACACCCATGATGTTTGCTAAAATGAGAGGTAGTATGACTTACTGGAAAGGAGAATAGACTAGGAATCAAGAGATCTAGATTTTTATTGTCACTTTATCCCTCACTTGATTTTTCACCTTGATAAAGTCACTTAATTTCCATATCTATAAAATGTTCACACATATTTTCTTGAGTTCTAATTCTATGATTCTGTGAATTAGATTACATATGTTTAGGAGAATCATTCCAGTAAGTGTGTAAGAGTAGGATGGAGTAGGAGTAGAAAACCTGTTGGCATCGAGTCGATTCTGACTCATAGCGACCCTATAGAACAGAGTAGAACTGCCCCATAGGGTTTCCAAGGAACAGCTGGTGGATTTGAACTGTTGACCTTTTGGTTAGTAGCCAAGCTGTTAACCACTGTGCCACCAGGGCTCCAGGAGTAGAAAGGGAACCACACTTCATTCAGGAGTGAGATGGTGGAGGTGGCAGGGGAAATACAAAAATGTGCCAAATTTGGAAAATACTATGATGAAAATTTCTGTAAGTTCTTAAGGTTGAGTTCCTCAGCAAAAGAAAATCACAACTGAAATTAAGTCCAAGGCCGTGGATGTTGTTAGGTGCCATCAAGTCAATTTTCGAATCATAGAGACCCTGTGTAACGGAATAGAACAGCCCCAGAGTTTTTTTTAGGTTGTAATCTTCACAGGAGCAGATCATCAGGTCTTTCTCCTATGGAGCCAATGTTTGGGTTCAAACCTCCACCTTTCAATTAGCAGCCAAGCACTTAACCACTGAGTCACCAGGGCTCCTTAGGTTGGGGACAGAGGTGAATATTGTGACTGTTTTGAAAGTGAAGGCAACTGTTTAGGAAAAAAGATTTGAGAGTGGGTTTTTTTGTTGTTGTTGTTGTTCATTTGTTTTTTGACACATCAATTTCAACTAATCAATCAACAAATGTATCTAAATGGTTTACGTTCTAGATAATTTATTGGCTAAATCATGAGAACAGAAAACCATAAAGATTTGGAGAAGAAAGTGTCAAAAAGTGAAACTTTGACGTGAGAATGAATTTGTTAAATTGTTTTTAACAATACAAGGAAACTCTGGTGGTGTAGTGGTTAAGAGTTTGGCTGCTAACCAAAAGGTTGGTAGTTTGAATCTACCAGGTGCTCTTTGGAAATAATACAATGTGTAAAACAAAGAATTCTGACCCTTAGGGAGATTTTTATTATCAAATGATATTACAATAAGCAACTTCAATCTCAAAGTCCGCTTGAGTTAACTTGCCATATCATGCTAACTGTGAAAATTTTTAAATGAAATATTCCATGCAGCAACATACCTCAGAGGAGACTTCTGTAATTCCAAATTGGGATAAACGTTGATGCAAAACATTGATATTAAGTGAACGTAGCACTTCTTCAGATGGCAGAACATTAGAAATTCCTGTCTTTCCGTTTACAGGAGACACAAATAGTTCAACACTGTTCTTCTTTCCCTAGTAAAAGCCGATTATTTTATACGTTATAAAAACATTTTAAACAACTTTTCTATCCTCTAGAAACATTAAAGGAAGTCAGAATCCTGGAATCCTAAAAGACATCTTGGAGGTGGCATTTATTAGTTATTCTCTGGTACACTTAACATTACCAGTACAAAGCCTGAAATCTTCAAATGATCTTCTTCCAATTAGCTGGCACCTCAAATTTATAATTTCACATTTCTTTGCATGCTGATTTATTTTCCATTCCATTTGATAATTTTTGAAATAGTATATTGTTCAGATGTTCCCCGAATAAGTACGTTTAAAGAAGCATTTAAAAACCAAAGAAATAAAACAAAACCTGATGTGATAGTACAATTATCAGACATCAGCATTCTATGCCATATACCAGCTGATTTCTTCTAACTTGTATTAATAAGAAGTCTGGACTCGTTGGGAAGATGGTGCTAGGTATGCCTTGCAGTCTCTTCCTTGATTTATTTTTATTTTTTAAATAGTATTTTATTGTGTTTCGGGTGAAAGTTTACACAGCAAGTTGGGTTCCCATTTGACAGTTTCCACACAAATCGTTCAGTGACAGTTACATTTTTCACACTGTGTCAGCATTCTGTTTACTGTGTTCTGGTTATTCCATTTCCAGTACTCTTGTTTCCCTGCCCCCTTAGCTTCTCAGCTTTGCTTTGAAGTAAATGTTGACCTTTAGGTCTCATACAGATGGTTTTTTAGTAGAGCACCAATCTTACAGGCAATATCCTTTATTTTGTGTGCCACTCTCCTTTCTTCCTCGATTTACGATTCTATGCTCTTCACCTCAAATATGTCACACTTTAAAAATCTATCCTTTGAGAGAAATGCATATGTTGTATAAGCATATCATGATACTTTTCTATTAGTTTTACCTTATTAGCTGAAATGGAGACAGGATTTTTTATCATAAATGATGGACATCACACACGCGCGCGCATGCGTGCACGCACACTAGGAAAAAATGACATTGGCATTGATATTTTCTCTTTTACAACTTATACAACGCACTTATAGAGATAAATTATCGTTAGCCTTTTCTTTTTGATACATGAAGTTTTCTCCTGCTAGAAAATTTTCTTTTAATGCAGTTTGTCAGAAGTTTAGTCATGTGTAAAATGGAGCATCAACATATTACTAGCATTCCAGAACAAATGTTTTCATGTTTGCAGGAAACAAAAGATGATGACTAAATACAGCATACTTCTGACGTGAAATATGTTTATTACAATTTAAATAGTTTATGGCCTAATAATAACAACAGTAGGGATAGAGCACTCATTTTGTGCCTGGTGCACTACTTACTGTGTACCTTAAATCCATGGATCACTTAACACCTCCATGAAAAGATATCGTTGTTGTTTCCATTTTACAAATGAAGAAACGTAACTAGTTTGCCCAAAGTCACACAGTTGGGACATGGCCAAGTTGGAAACAGTTGGTTCTGTCTGTCTGTCCCCAAAGCACATGCTCTTATGTGCTCTGCTGCCTCACATGTTATTGCAACTATATTGATTATAACGACTACATTTAGAAATAAATGTGCATCCAGTGCTACTAGTATTCTCAGAGGATATGCATATCCCACGTTGGGTGTGACAAATTTCTTTTGTCCCTGCAAAAAGCTATCATGCTAATTAAATCTATATCTACATAAGTATACTTAAGATATCTATATATATGTTAAAATTTAGATCCTTATCTAAGATATCTATGACATCTAAAATCTTCTCATTTGAGCAAGGCATGCCATAGATATAAATAACTTACTTCATTCTTTCAGGATATTAGGGAATGCTGAATTTCCTTTTCTCCGTTGTTGCTGGGTGCTGTCGAGTCGATTCCGACTCATAGCGACCCTATATCACAGAGCAGATCTCCTCCACAGGGTTTCCTAGGCTGTAATTGTTATGGGAGCCAATTGCCAGATCTTTTCTCCCAAGGAGTGGCTGGTGGATTTGAATTGCCAACATTTCTGTTAGCAGCCAAGCTTAGCAGCTGAGAGCTTAACCATTGTGCCACCATGGAGTCCTTTCCTCTTCTATAGACTTGAGTAAAATCTTTTTTTTAAGCTTATTTGGTCACAGAACAAAAGTTTTTATGAGGAATGAACAACTCACAGCCCCAACAGAAAAATGAAAAGAAACAAAGACCCCAAAGACCCCAAACTAAAATAAAAAGCAAATTCTTCTCCATAGTTGGGAATGCAGACATTGGATGTTATAGGAAGCAGATCTCAAGCAGGAGCATAGCTACTTAAGGCAGGGAAAACAGATAGTACCTGCTTAGGTTCCTATTGCTCAGAAATCAAGAAGGTAAATTTAAAACTGTAAGATGATTCCAAAGTCTTTTTCCCTGTGAAACTTAGGTTCACGAACCTTTTTACAAAGACAAAAGTCATCTAACATGAGTTCACCTTTTTGCCTTGCTCCAACCATCTTCAAATCCAGATGGGTGTAGTTGGATGAAATCACGGTCCCCAGATAGTGAGGAAATGGGGGAAAGAAAAGACATGGGGGATTGATAGGTCTAGAATGGCCCCTATACAAAAGATCCTTTGGGTTTACCTAATCTCCATCTTAGATCCCATCCAAGTTTTCTCTTGGTTTTTCAGGACTTTTTATTCTGGCATTCTATTTGAGCCTCTGTCCTCAAGTATTAGATCTTTATTCTTTACTCACAATCCTCTATCTTGTGCATTCAGTATCCTTCATCCTAATACACTTGAAGGGGCTTAGATACTGTCTGAAAGCAGTGCCTTAACTGATAAAGTTTTTCTTTTAATGGAAAATATTTTGGGTGTAGTGCCAGGTAGATGGAGTCCCTGGGTAGAGCAAACGGTTAACACACTAGGCTCCCAAATGAAGGGTTGGTGGTTTGTGGCCACACAGAGGTGCCTTGGAAAAAAGGCCTGGTGATCTACTTTCAAAAAATCAGCCATTGAAAACCCTATGGAGCAAAGTTCTACTCTGATGCACGTGTGACAGCCAAAGAAGCCAGGAGCTCCTTGGCCATTAGCAAGCAAAACTTTAGGTGGTGGTGATGGACGTGGCTCAATTGGGAGCAGCTCAGACCAAGCAGAACCTGCCGCTCCTATCCATTGTCCTCAAAGCACTGGGTGTGGCTCAAGCCAGTCAAACCCAGTTTACTAGCCTACATGCCAAGGAAAAAATGCAATTTGTCTTACTGTGCCTGTGCACTGTGATAATCTATGTAGTCCATAATGTTTATATGTACTTCCTTGTGAGAGACGATATAAAAGGTTTTGCCTCCTTTTGTTCTGGGAGCTTGATTTGAGGTATACACTTCCTTGCTCCTTGCCTGTGTGCTTGCAGTAAAGGCTCTTCCTCTCTCCTTCCTCACCTGGGTGGGTCTTTATTAATGAGAAGCCACACTGAGCAGAACCAGCTTTAGGTAACACATGGGCCACCATGATGACAATTGCAACTGGTGGCGGTGGTGGTGGTGAGCATACCAACCAAGGTAGCCAGACTTGAACTACAATAGGGCTGACAAACTTTTTCTGTAAAGAGTTAGACTGTAAATATTTTAGGCTTCACAGGCCAGACAGTCTGTTTTAACTACTCAACTCTGCCATTGTAACATGAAAGCAGCCATGGACAATATGTAAGTGAAAGGGTGTGGCTTGTTCCAGAAAACTTTATTTACAAAAACAGGTGGCAGGCTAGATTTGGCCCATGGACTGTAGTACTATATCATGAACCCTTAGATAATAGAAAACAAAGCTTGTACTCCAGAATGTGAAATTTATGCAACTTACAAGGAGGCGGTTGATGTGTACTTGTTGAGGTAAGAGTCCTAAGGCTGCGGCCACTCCTTGGCGGAATATTTGAAGCAAGGTTATATTCAGCTTGTTTACATCCATTTGAAGTGTCTGGAAAAATAAAGAAAAAAAGAAATCCGTATTATATTAAGTGGTTGTCTTGGATCATTCAGTTCCTCATTGAGGACTGGACACAACAATTTCTGTGACTCGCATTCATGGTGCTTTATTGCATTTTAATGGAGATAAAATCATAGAGAAATTTTATGTGAAAAATTAAATGGTGTTAGCTAAAAAGGTGGTGCATTGTACAACAATGTAATTTAGCTAATTATAATCAATAACACAAACGAATGACAAATTCATAAAGAATTTCACTGAAATGTGCGTTATTTTATTTTAGTTTCAGTCCTGATGATAAAATGGCATCTTTGTCCAAGCGCATTTTAGTAATCCAGTCTGAAGGACATCTTTAATTTGTGTTCACACACAGTCACAGAGAGGAAGACGCTGTGTGAGTCCCATAATGCCAGACTTGACAGTTTCTGTACATACTGACCCACTTCCAGTGCAAGGCAAAGGAATGAGGTATAATAATGCATCTTCAAACTCTGGTAAAGAAGCCAATGGTACTGATGATTTGGGTAAGGTCAATAATTCTTATTCAATTGTTTGAGTAAACACTCTTAATTGTCATACTTGCCTTGGAAAAGTAACAGCAATTAAATGCTAAAAAATTCCTAAAATAGAAACTAAATTGTGATAATGATACAGCCTTAATTTAAGCCATGAGTACTTCTAGTATCTTTAAACCATGAATCAGTTCACTACATATTTTCAAAAATGCATCATAATCTTTTGAGATAGATACTTTACAAGATAGAGAAACCAAATTTTTACGTATTTCTTATAATGCTTAATTCGCTAACTTGACCATGGTAGGTAATCAATAACTATTGGATGGCTGCAATACCATCTATTCTGCAAAGTGAGGCATACTTCTAAATACTCTGACGAAGATTTGCTTACAAGCGTAATCTACAGACTAGGAACTCTGAGAAGAAAGGATCTTCTCCTAGTTTGCTCTAAAAGGTGAATGATACTGCTTTGGGAATTTATAGTCTTGTTAGGAAACAGCTCAGGACCTGGCAGTATTTCGTTCTGTTGTATATAGGGTCGCTGTGAGTTGAAACCGACTTGAGGGCACCTAACAACAACAGCCTACACATAAACACAAGATACATTGGCATAAAATAAGTGACTGGACCAAATGCTTGAGGCTACAGGAATCAGAGGGAGTTGGGGAAGTGAGAAGAGGTATAGTGGTTTCCAGCAAAGATGGTGGACCCAGTTGAAGTTCCAGACTGGATATGTGTATAGGTAAGAGCTATTGGCTTGGTCATGTTAGGGAGCTGGAACTGAGCTCTGCAAAAAACTGGGAGCCAGAAAAGGGCAGAACCTTTGAAAAACTCTAACAGCCAAAGAATAGGGTATGACTTATTTCTGGAAAGGGGGAAAGGAAAATTATGTTATGGATAGGTGCAGAAGGTACATCAACACTATTAGTAATGCTTTTTGTTAAATAAAATTCATCTAATGGGACACAATTGTTTGCTATATTATTCTCTGTCTTGTTTTGTAGTCTAAAAAATGTTTGTATATATAACAACATGATTTAATACAGAAAGTAAGGCTTGAGCTTAACACGGAGAGGTGAATAGGGTTTGGAAAGGCATCGAGGAGAAAAACAACATTATACTTTTAAGCCTGCTTTATGTAGTCACCTGCAAACCCAGGAGATTAGAAAAACTCGGTACACATGGCGTCTCTGAGAAACAGAGGCTTCCTTATATCTAGCAGCCTGCTTTCAGCTCTTTGAGGCTGCAGATGCTGGTTGTTAGATATGGGACACTGTATGAGAAACTCTGTCTACTTCTCTTCCTTTGTGAGCCCAAGGATGGGTTCCCCACTTCTGTGAAACACTGATGAGGAATCATTGACTTCTGGCTCATCAGCGGTGTTTGTCAGGCAGGGTAAGCAGGCAAGCAGTACCCTTTTTCCCAGGGGCAAGATTTGGAGCCAACTGTCCACAGTGGGAACTGAGAGTCAAGAAGGTTGTATACTCACTTGAGAACTCAATTCCCAGGGCCATAATTAACTTGAGGCTTGTAACTGTGGAAACGGTATTAAAGCCTAAGTTTCTCAGTTTGCAATAGTAAATGGGAAGTGAAATGGGAACTCAAGATTAAAATCACTCGAAAAGGCAACTTCCCAAGAAGGTAAAAGCAGTGCATTTGAAACGGAAGCTTAGCCTACCCAATGAAAGCGAAGAAGCAAATTGAAGTAATTAGCTAATTTACACTGAAATCATCTGGTTCATTGCAACGAAAACATGAATAATTTGCCTCGGTTCTCTGTTTGCCTGTGGAAAGCTGGATTGGTTTTACAATGCATGCACATATTCCTGACTATTCTACATAAAATAGTGATGCTAAAATATAGTACAAACGGATATATATGTATAGGACCTAATATATGCCAGGCATTATGTATGAGTGCAATTTGAGAAAAAGAAAGGATTCGTAGACAAAATGAGAATTTAATGTCAGACAAAATGAAAATATATGACTTCCTTCTGGATAGATGCTAGAAATGCACAGCTTCTCCTCATCCTGTTATGCAAAATCATATCAACTAAGATAGAATATAAATTTCCATGGCAATAATAACAGCGTCTCAGCTTTAAACCATTTCACTGTGCAAGATATACTTTAGTCTGACTTCTAAACCTATTTGGTCATTTTTATCACTTAATATACATATGATTTAAGTTTTTCATTTCAAAGAAATTAAAATGTTCTTTCCAAATGCGAATGCTAAGCCACTTCACAGCACTAAACAATGCAATGGGCTCAAGCATGACAACGATTCGTTCTTTTGTACATAGGGTCACTATGAATCGGAACCAACTAGACGGCACCTAACAACGTATAAGAACAATTGAGTATCTTTATTGATATTACAAATACACAAATATATAGAAAAAAATAAACATATTCAAAAATTACAGACTCCATCTGTATTTAGATATTTTGGGGCCTCTGCCTTGTTAAGAGGTTCCTGAATTAATTCCTTTTACCTAGGATTTAAACTCGCTCCTCCTTTCCCAAGGAAATGCCACTTTGTAATAAGTCTTCCTTTATTTGGTCACCAAACTGTCCACTAAAGTAGTCGAAGCCTACTGATACAGTGGTATCACTAGGGTTGGTGTCACCCCGTGTGGTAACTCATGGTGTCACCCCCCCCATGGACCTCCTCTCCTACCAGACTGTACAGAATCCTTAGTAATGTTGTTTATACTAATGTTACTTGTCAATCATAATTCCCGTATATTACTCCTTCTTTTTTGTTAATTACTACTTCATTCTCAAAAAAGTTACTGATACAGGTTCACAAATACTAATTACCACAGTACTGTAGCTAAAACACCAGAAAATTTGACAAAATCAATCTGTTGACCAATTACCATCAAGTCGATTCCGACTCATGGTGACCCTATAGGACAGAGAAGAACTGTCCCATGGGGTTTCCAAGGAGCAGCTGCTGGATTTGAACTGCCCACCTTTTGGTTAGCAGCCAAATGCTTAACTACTGTGATTAAAAAACACCAGCAACAACGAAAACAACATTGCATACTTGTAGCGCGTGCAGAGGAAACCACGTGATTTGAAGTGTCATTGTAATTGGGTAATAATAACAGTTATGACCGGATGGAATTAGAAGATTCAGAAAGTAAATTAGCATAGAGCTTTAGCTTTGTAGGTATATTGATACACGTAAACTGGGCTTATGAAAAATGTTTTCGTTGTTACAACTAACTATAGGGATATTTTTATAGACAGTCATTTTGTGTCACCCCCTCTGAATGTCACCCACTGTCACCTCCCGACTGTACCCCCCAGTGACGCCACTGCTCAGATATAAACCAAGACAGTAGAACTGATAAAAATTCACATTTGAATTTAGCACCAGTACTATATTTGAATTGTTAAGTATAAGACTGGCTTTTAATTATTTATTCCTAACGGATGGTTAAATTATATTTGCCTAGGAGGGGGACAGGTTTCTAAATGCTAGTTCCCTCCTGACATTATTAGGCAGCCTGATCACTTGGCCATACACAGTAAAAGTGAGGACCACACCGAGTGGGTGCCATTAAGGGGAGAGAGGCCAAATGGCCATGTCTGTCCTGGAGAGATGTCCTCAAAATCCCTTAGAGAAGAGCGGCTTCAATTTCCAACAGGCACAAAAGGACCCAGCTTTCTTGAGGACCAAAGCCTGATCTTTCTATTGTTAATTTATGTTCACTGCTACCTGGAATGATGAAAAACTGTCATCTCTAGCCCCATTCTTGGCTAAGGAGCTTCCCCTTTTTACCCACAAGTTGGATTGTTGAATTGGCAAGTGATTTCCAGGAATCAGAGAAAATGTTTCTCTGTTTATATCTTTGAATTAAGTAGAAAACACCAAACTGTAGGAGACATTTTAGACCTTCACTCAGTCCCTTCTTACCACTCTCTGCATTTATGCTTTGCTACTGCTTTCATGCTATTGATTTTTATTTCCGTTTTTCACCTTCCTGCCTTCCTTGAAGTCTTACACTTGCTTCCCTCTACCTGAACGTTCCACTCAGACTTGAAACTCAGTGTTACCAAAGCTGAACTTATCTTTCTCCCTCTGCCCATCCACAATATAATTTGCTTCTCTTTGTATATTTCATATAATGGGATGAAGTGCCATATTTGGGAGTCATCTTGATTCCTTCTTCTTTACTCTTCACATTGCCACTATGATAATCCAATTAATAAGCAAATCTTGTCTTTTCTACCTCCTAAATATCTCTTTAACACTGAATCTATCTTCTCTTCGTCTATATTTCCACCATCTTGGTTCAGATCACGATCATGGTTACCAGTACTACTTGAATAGAATCTTAATGGGTTGCCAATTTTCTTCAGATTAGAAAGTCTCTAATTCACTCTTCGTAAGGACACCACAGTGATCTTTACAAAATGCTAATCCAATCAAGTGACTCTTCTGCTTAAAATATT